AACTGTGCACCACCATGCCCAGCCAGACTTTCTTTTAACTTAAAATAGTTGAGTAAATAAACAGTCGCGTCTAAAAGCCTACTACATGGAAGTGGGAGAAAGATAATAATAGTTTCTTATGTTGCTTAATTTTTGTAGTTTTCGAAGTAAGTTCATGTTCTATTTCACATGGGTTGATCCAGCTGCCAGATGTGTAGCCCAGATAGGTGTGTTGGAATCCCATTTTAATGATTCTGAGCTGAGTTCAGAGAGCTTAAGTGGCTCCTAGCAGAGCCAGTATTAGAATGCAAATATTAATAGGAATAATTCTTATCCTTGAGGAGCAATCTAGAGGCATATATACTGAAATGTGTCACTGGAAACATTTGACCTTTCCCTGTTGTTACAGAACAAGGGCCCACCAAGAAGCCAAAGCAGCCACAGAGGTCCTCTTCTACCATTTCTTGTACTCTCACTGGAAAGATTTCAGACGTGTTACTCTGAGTAGGCATGTATTTATTAGAAGGGATAGGAAAAGCGGGGAGAGAAACACTCTTAAGGAAGAGAATGGGTCCTCTCAGAGAGGTAGGGCATGACTTTCCTGCCCTCCTGTTTTATTGGGGGTCTCAGGGAAGTTTCCAGAGAGTCCTGCCCCAAGACTACCTCTTGACTTCTGACAACAGGATTGGGTCAGACTTCAAAGGCCCCTTTGTGCATAGTATTGCCCCGTGGAAGGAAGATTTTACTATTGTAATGACATGCTAAAGATCCAGGGCAACTCTGGGTCACTTTGGCCTACATTGGCCCATTCTAGTTGAAACTTGTTCTTATAGATTTATGTGATTAGGGGGAATTATCCTGTCACCCTGAGATGTGGAATATGATCTATGTAAAGGACACAGCAGTCCCATCTCCCCACCCCTCTGCTTCAGGGTAATCTGTATTCTTTTTGTCAGCAGGGAGGAGCCTTTCAGGTAATAGATTATTCTTGAGAAACATAACATATCCCATTGACATAAGCCAGGCAGGGCTGCAAGTAAATTGTTTTTGGAGACAGAGCATGTGGAGGCCAGTACAGTAGGTCCAGTTCATAGAATGATCCCCTTAATCATATGTTCCACATTACTCACATCTATTACCTGTCACCCATGACCAGTTTCCTGCCAGGCTCTCAGGGGACCACAAAGGACCTTGCTAAGGTAGTTTGACCTCAGCTTCTCACTGCCATGTTACTATCTCTGAGTTGATACTACTCTAGCTTTGCCCTTCATTTTGCTAATTGATGTTGACATATTTTATTTTGTTTTCAACTTCCATTTGTTAGTTAATTTTTGGTATTTCCTATTTTTTAATTTGTTTCAGTCAAAAGTTTACATCACTGAATATAGTTGTGATACCTTTAAAATTCTTACTTGGGGTTTCCGTTGATTATTCTTTTTACTTGAGAATGGATCATCTTTTATTGATTCTTTTCCATTTTCCTTTTTTATTAACAAAAATTATATATATTTATTGTATATAACATGATGTTTTGAAATATGTATACATTGTGGAATGGCTGAATCGAGTTAATTACCATATGCATTACATGACATACTTAACGATTTTTTTTGTGGTGAGAACAATTATAATCTACTCTTAAAACTTTCACATGTACAATACATTGTTGTTAACTATAGACATCACGTTGTACAAAAGTTCTTCTAGAACTTCCTATCTCACTGAAATTTTATACCTTTGACCATTTCTCCCCAGCCACTCCCTAAACACCACCTCATCTCTCAGTTCCTGGTAACCACCATTCTCCTCTCATTGAATTTAATCCTTTTAGATTCTACATATAAGGGAAAGCATGTAATTATTTGTCTTTCTGTGTTTGGCTTATTTTACTTAACATAGTGTTCTCCCAGGTTCATCCATGTTGTTCCAAATAACACACTTTCCTTCCTTGTAAAGGATTATCAGTATGCTTTTATGTACATACACCATATTTTCTTTATCCATTCACCTGTCAGTTGACATTTAGCTGGATTACATATATTGACTACAGTGAATAGTGCTGCACATGGATGTGCAGATATCTCCTGGACATACTGATTTCATATCCTTTGGTTATATGCTCAGTAATAAGATTGCTGAATCATATTGTAGTTCTATTTTTAAGTTTTTTGGGAACCTCCATACTGTTTTCCATGATGATTGGACTAATTTACATTTCTAACAGTAGAGTATACGAATTCTCTTTTCTCCACATTCTTGCCAACATTTGTTATCTTTCATTTTTTTTTTCATGATGACCATTATAACAGATATTAGAATGGGGGAATATCTCATTGTGGTTTTAATTTTCACTTCCCTGATGATTAGTGATGTTAAGCAGTTTTTCATAAGCTTTATGTCATCATTAAAGAAATGTTTATTCAATTCTTTTTTCCATTTTTTAATGGGATTTTTGTTTGCTTGCTATTCAGTGGTTTTAGTTCTCTTTTGGATATTAATATTTTGCCAGATATAATTCACATATGTTTTTCATCCATTCTGTAAGTTGTCTCTTCATTGTTGATTGTTTTCTTTGTTGTGCAGAAGCTTTTTAGTTTAAAGACATCTTATTTGACTATTTCTGCTTTTGTTGTTGTGGTCTTGGACCGTATCTATAAAAGCATTACCTAGAATAATATCATGGAGCTTTCTATGTTTTCTTCCAGTACTTTTATAGCTTCAGGGCTTAGGTTGAAATCTATTTTGAGTTTGTTTTTGTATATGGTATGAGATAAGGGATTCAGAGTTTATCATTTTTATCTAAAAGATGGTTAGATCTGGTAGAACCTCCCAGTTCTTCTTATCATGATTTTGGATTGTATTCTGGACAATGTTGTGCTATGAAGACTCTGGATTTTGTTATAATCCTTCAAAGAGAATTAGTGCTTTTGCCTTAGTGGTCAGTTAATTTGACTAGATCCAGACTGCAAACTCTCTTGAGCAGACACTCAAATATCACTTCAGTTCTTTTCTGTTTATTAAGGTTAACTTGCATGTACCCTACGCATGCAAATTTCAATAGTCAGCTAAAGTAGAAGACTAGAATTTAGGATTTCCCCTCTTTAGCTTTCTCCTTTCTGGGATTCTCTTTTAATGTTACAGTGTCTATAGAACTTCTTCTGATCAACCACCTATGTATTGGGAATTTCCATGGTCTCCTCCTCAGTTTCAATTAATTTGCTAGAATGCCTCACAGAACACACAGAAATGTTTTAATTATGTTTTCCCATATGTTACAAAGGATATTACAAGGATACTGATGAATAGCCAGATGGAAGAGATGCATAGGACCAGTCTTGTGGGAAGGGGCATGGAGCTCCTACATCCTCTCCCTCCAATCATGGCTTAATCCTTCCCTGTGACCAGCCCCCATCCTGAAGCTATCTAGGAGCCATTAACCACCAGTCAGCTCATTAGCATACAAAAGACATTCTTATCACTTTAGAGATTCCAAGAATTTTAATAACTGTGTACTAGGAGGAAACGGGAGGATGACCAAACATGTATTTCACAATATCACAAACACTGACTTTGGCCATTTCTCAAGCTAAAAGTCACTAAAAATAAGAACCTGGTGCCACCCTTTCCTCCAAGATTTATCCATTCTTTCCTCCACCCTCTCTTTCTACCATCCTGTGAACCATAAAGCTCTCAGACCATTGATGGGGGTGTTGGGGAGAGTGCAGAGTTTATCATTTTTATCTAAGGGTTGGTTGGATATGGGGGACCTTACAGAGCCATACAGGAAACAATATTTGTTGCATTATGCCTTTCTGTGTAAAGTTTTGTTTGCAGAAAGGGTACTCAAGCTTGGAAAACAAAAACAAAATTTAAAAAGTCTCTATACTTGGACAGCTTCCAACCAAGTTTTAAATCCTGTAACATCATTCTCAGAGACCTACATGTCCAGCCTCTGTTGTGAGCACCCTCAGCAATAGAGCCCTTCCTCTTTTTCCTCTGTGGTTTCTCTCTTCCCACCTTAGCTTCCCAAGGTCCATCAAAGGATCTTTGTCCAAGTCTCCTCAGTGACAGGATTTTAGCAAAGCTTCTTGGAAGGAAAAGCTTATCTAATTTCCTCTGCTAAGTGTTGCTTTTCTCTGATTGACATTTCAGATGGATGTTTGTGTGTGTGTGGAAGAGAGAGATAAAAGGAAGAAATGCACAGCTCAGCCTTTATTTTGACTTCTGGTTGCTATTGTAGTAACTCTGGTTGGCCTGGCATGTGCCTTGAGGCATGTAGCATTCTAGAGAAAAGCCAAGGTACTTGCCTGGTGTGAATGGCTGAAAACATACTGCTGTACTGACCTCCTCAAGAAGGAGGCAGGATGATGACTAAGGTGATAGATATCTCATGGTTTTATGAGGAGATAACCTGAAGGACTATGGTTAGGACCCAGATATACATGAGAGGTTTGGGCATCCTACTATGTAAGCAAACTAAATATAGAAGAGGATAACTACAGTCACATGGATAATAGTCTTAGAATTGGGAGTCCTGGGTCAATGTGTTGCATGCTCTATAGTGTTTAAGAATTCTCCTTCACTTTCCATGTGGATTTTTCAATTAGCAGTTGATTTTACAGGATGGCACAAACTAACTGGTGAAAATGTGTACGTGAAAGCATATGGAGGGAAGAATATTCATAGAAGCTGATTGTGTGATTTATGTATGTAGACAGAAGGTAGTACAGGAGATAATACTGTTAGATTCCTTCATGTCAGGGACTCAGCCTTTCTGAAAGTATATCGTCCACCTGAGTTCCATTGGGGCACAGAGTTTTAAAAGTGTTAGCTTCTATCAAAACAGAACATGACACAATATTTTGAGTTACCTTATTCTCTAATATAAAACCTATTATTTATCTGGGCATGAACTGATCTTTACCACCCCCTCTGCTAGGAAGAAAACAACAAACAAAAGCAAAATGTATTCTTTACATGCCTTTTTAGTTCATTCATTTTTTCAAATTTTTATTTTTCAGAGTCACAAGCAACAAATGCTACTGTGAATCCCCGGTCATTTTTTCTCAGGAATTCCAATGATAGATTTGAAATCTTCCCATTGGGAGAGGATGAAGAGAAAAATGAAAGTGCATTAACGGAAGACAGATTCGTCTCCCTCAATAAAAGCAGTCCTCTTCAAAAACCACCCCCTGTGTTCATCTCGAAAGATGCCTCAGGATACCTGACCAGCCCCTGGCTGACTCTCTTTATCCCTTCTGTTTACACCTGCGTGTTCATCATCAGCCTTCCCCTGAACATCATGGCTATCGCTGTGTTCATCCTGAAGATGAAGATCAAGAAGCCAGCTGTGGTGTATATGTTACACCTGGCCACAGCAGATGTGCTGTTTGTGTCCGTGCTGCCCTTTAAGATCAGCTATTACTTTTCGGGCAGCGACTGGAAATTCGGGTCTGAAATGTGTCGCTTTGCCACTGCAGCGTTTTACTGTAACATGTACGCCTCCATCATGCTCATGACGGTCATAAGCATTGACCGGTTCCTGGCTGTGGTGTATCCCATCCAGTCCCTCTCCTGGCGCACTCTGGGAAGGGCTTCCTTCACTTGTCTGGCCATCTGGGCTATGGCCATCGCAGGGGTGGTGCCTCTCCTCCTCAAGGAGCAGACCACCCAGGTCCCGGGACTCAACATCACCACCTGTCACGATGTGCTCAATGAAACCCTGCTCGAAGGCTTTTACGCCTATTACTTCTCAGCCTTCTCGGCTGTCTTCTTTTTTGTGCCGTTGATCATTTCTACAGTCTGCTATGTGTCGATCATCCGATGTCTTAGCTCTTCAGCTGTGGCCAACCGGAGCAAGAAGTCTCGGGCTTTGTTCTTGTCTGCTGCTGTCTTCTGCATCTTCATTCTCTGCTTTGGACCCACAAATGTCCTCCTGATTATGCATTACTTATTCCTCTCTCATAACCCCGCCACAGAGGCTGCCTATTTTGCTTATCTCCTCTGTGTCTGTGTCAGCAGCGTGAGCTGTTGCATTGATCCCTTGATCTACTACTATGCTTCCTCTGAGTGCCAGAGGCACCTCTATGGTATCTTATGCTGTAAAGAAAGTTCTGACCCCAACAGTTACAACAGCAGTGGTCAATTGATGGCAAGTAAAATGGATACGTGCTCTAGTCACCTGAATAATAGCATATACAAAAAGCTGTTAACTTAGGAAAAGGAACTGCTGGAAATCGGTGTGAAATGTGTTGCTTTGCCACTACAACATTTTACAGTAATAGATGTATGCCTCCATCATGCTCATGACAATTATAAACATTGACTTAAAAAGAGAAGGTTAAAAAGTAGATAACCTGGGGATTCTGTTAGTCCCTTGAAAAACTACTTCACCGTCTAAAACAACCAATGTATGATTTGCATGTCTGCTTCCTAAGAGAGCCATCAAGCATATATGTTGTTTAATTGTCAGAAAAGGTAACAGGAAGAGAAAACAGTGTTACTTCAAGGGAGTATTGCCTGCCAGTGCTACAATTACTGAATGTCACTTTTTGATATATCTAGGTGACTTATATGTGTACATATATGCACAAATACATATTATTTGCAGTGCAGTATGAAATAGGCACTTGGAAACTCACATTTTCTTCCCAGCAATTATGGAAATAATCTCTGACTTAATATGCAAAACATCTAGGTTGGTATACTTTAGCCCTGGACATCTAAAGATATCCATCAATGGTAAGGAATTCCATAGTTTGGACTTCACAACTTTTGCAAATAAGTGCATTTTGAAATTGTTGGGAAACAATATGTGAGTCATGGAAGGATAAAGTTTGGTATTATCTCTGTGTAGAAAAGTTTACTATTTTTCATTTCATATGTATCAAAGTTTGAATTCTTGTCGAAAATTATCAAAAAAGATGAAAAGCCCATTTTGATATGGGTAGCATTTTTGATGTTTTATACACAGGCTATGTGAACCAAAATGAGCATAAATCCCACTAGTGAGTAAACTGCCTTTTATGCAGTCCACCCTGAGAGCTGCACATGTCCACCCCATGGAGGACACCAAGCAGCAGAAAATGGCAGAGCTGCACATTGGCCAGAAACCTCCAGATAAGCCTCCCAGAGAGCAGAAACTGGAGACCACCACACTCCATTTTCCTGGGGCACTCCCAAGGGTTAGCTGTGAACTGATCGCATCTATAGGAAATCCGCAAAGCAGGATGGACATCCTGGGAGGTAGTAACTATGAAAGGTTTTTCTGCCCCTCTTAGGAACAGAGAAGGAAGGCATGCTCATGTCAAGTAGATGTCCTGCAAGGTTGGCTCTCATACAGAAGCACCTAGGCACTCTGATAGGTACCAGGCCTACAGAATATATAAGACTAAGATCTTGCTCAGAAAAGCAATGCAGAAGGCACATAGCTAGATTGTGATATGCATGTAATAAATATGTCCTATATAAAGAAGTGTTGTTAATCAGATGTCAACAAGCATTTCACACAAGCAAACCTATCATCTAAAGATCTTTGAACATTTGGGTTTCTACTTCCTGTGATTACAATTTAAGATGAAAACACAGGAAGTGTATGTTTCTTAAATAAGTCACTCTACATTAATTTGATACTATTTATTTATAAATATTTTGTTTAGTAAGATCTTAAGTCAACTTTCTCTCTCTCTCTCTCTCTCTCTCTCTCTCTCTCTCTCTCTCTTTGTCACACACAAACACACACACACACACACATTTTTTGTTCTTGTTTTCTAATGGAAATGGGGATTGAACCCAGAGCCTTGTGCTTGCTAGGCAAGTACTCTGCCACTGACCTACATCCCCAGCCCTTTATTTAAATTTTATTTTGAGACTAGGTCTCACTAACTTGCCCAGGCTGGCCTCAAATTTTTGGTACTCCTGCCTCAGCCTCCTGAGTAGCTGGGTATTTATAGGCATGTGCTATCACACCAGGCTTCAAATAAACTTTTCCTTTAAGAATAATTTATGTTCATCTAGTTAGGAAGAAAATGGAATTGACATTGAAATCTAGGAAAATTTTTCTATATTTTCCATTCACTTTCCTTAAGAATTAAGGGACTGTTTAAAAAAGCATTTTTAAAAAATCCATCATAATTGAGAACATAGAAAGTCTTTTGTGGGTTAGACAAAGTAATTTGAAAATTAGGTTAAAATATATCTTATTTTTCCTGATTTTAAAAAAAATGATATTTTAAACAAAAAAAAAAAAGTGGAAAAATGGAAAAGTTTGGACTTCACAACTATTTAAATGAGCAAAGTAGGGACTGGGGTATAGCTCAGTTGGTAGAGTGCTTGACTTGCATGCACAAAGGCCCTGGGTTCAATTCCCCGCACCACAAAAAATAAATAAATAAATAAATAACATAATAAAAGAGTAAAATATTTCCAAATATCATAGAATAATTTACAGAAGAGTAATATAACTGTATTTTAAGTAGAAGTTAGTACTTATTTTGTTAACTAGTTACTATATTCACTTTTTAAAGTAGTAGATTATCTTGTTTATTCAGCCTATACATATTAAAATGCCTCTGACTTAATATGATTATCATTATTGTATTATATTATTTCAGTTTTTATGTTCACTCTCTTTTTTAAAAAAACATTATGTAACCTGTATTAATAAACATGAAAATTTTTGCTTGATAGCTGTTTGGAATAGTTTATTATGTCTTTTGGGTCCTGGCCAGATGGCACACTTGAAAGGTTTAACTGAGGAGTGTTTAGTGAAGAGGTGATTTGCAGAGGAATGGGCAGGGTTAAGGAAACCTACAGGGGTTGGTGAAGTCCCCAGAGACTAGTAGTTAGGGAAAGCTGTTACCTCCCCAAGCCCCCGGAGATAGAGGCAGGAATACACTGACCCCTTCTCTGTGACCCTCTGATCTCTTCCTGGTGCTTCCCATTGCTCCTCTCCTATTAACCTCACAGTGTGAAATTTAGGGAACCAGGGGGACATAATCCATAAAGATCAGCTTCTTTGGACATGGAGAATGGAGTTAGTAAATCAAGTTGAGATTTAAAAATTTTAAAAAATATAAAGATACAGCATGATTTCTACCAAAGACACTGGGCAATAAGCTTTCTATTTGTTTTATTCTTTTTTAGGAAATTTCAAGGTTAGATCATTAAAATATACTCAGATTCCTGGCTTATAAGCATTAAGGTTAATGTCTACTGTCATTTCCTAGTGAGAAACAAACATCAGAGCAGGGAGGACACTGGTAGGGGGACTGTGCTGCCCCTTTGCCCTGAGTGACAATCCTGGGCTGTTGAATGCTGCCTGGGTCCCTCAACCTCTGAGAGTTGAAAAATCAATAAAAAGTTTCTAGTGAAGTATTTTTGGATTCATACTCAATGAAAAAATTTATTTCAAAGCCAGGCATGGTGGTGCACGCCTGTAATCCCAGAGGCTCAGGAGGCTGAGGCAGGAGGATTATGAGTTCAAACCCAGCCTCAGCAATTTAGCAAGGCACTAAGCAACACATGGAGACCCTGTCTCTAAATAAAATATAAAATAGGGTGGGGATGTGGCTCATGGTTGAGTGAGTTCAATCCCCAATAAAAAAAAAAAAGGGAAAAAAATTATTTCAACTAAGTTATGGTAACATGACCTTTTAAAGTTTCTGAGTCCATAGAAATATTAAATGAAGTCAGATGGTCTCAGCTCATGACCACCAGAAATAGGATCCTCTCTCTCACCAGAAAGTGACCTTTATACTCTTCTGTTATTTTTTTCCCCAAGATACAGTTGAGTTCAGAAAACACACTTGAATTTTATTAACACAAAAGTGTTTTTTTTCCACCAAGTCAAAAATAGTATTTTTGAGGAAATGGAATACTTGGCTGTTGAATATACAGTTGGAAAATTTTAGATTATATTTCCAGATTTAAGAAATTAAGAAAACAGCATGTTCTTGGTTTTCAGAAGCAAGTGGAAAATGTTAGGCAGTGTTTATGAACCAGCTTTTTAAGTATCTGAGTGCATGGAGAAACAATCAACCATAGGATAAATAAGGCCAATTGTGTTCGATGAAGGAGGTGTGGTTAAGTGAACTGCAATTTCAGGAAAGAGAAATGCCCTAATGCAGTAATCTCAGAGTCAGGAGATCCATGAGATCAAAACTATCTTAACACACTAAGACCTTATTCATCTCTTTTGGTGTGATGTTTTCACAGAAGTACAGTTGAGTTTTCCAGAGATTACATGATGTGATAATGCAACAAGTTAAACACAGTGTTATGGTTTAGTTATTAGGTATTCCCCAAAAACTCATGAGTGAGACAATGCAAGGAGGTTGAGGTAAAATGATTGGGTTATGACAGCCTCAATAGGGATTAACTGAGTGGCGACTATAGGCAGGTAGGTGTGGCTGAAGGAGGCGGGTTATTGGGGGACATGGTAAGATTTGTCTCTTTGCTTCCCGGTGCCATGCTCCCAGCTGCTCCACCATACTCTCCCGTCATGATGTCCTGACTCACCTCGGGCTCCAGAGAATAGAGTCAGCTGTCAGATAAAGACCTCTGAAACTGTGTATCCCAAAATAAACTTTTCCTCCTCTAAAATTGTTCTTGTCAGGTCTTTTGATCATGGCAACAAAAAAAAAGCTGACTGAAGCATGCAGAAATAGATATTAAAATCTGTCTTCTATTAAGTCAGTCCTTAAAGACACTACAAAAATATAAACAATGTGAATCTTCTCATTAAATTATTGTTTGGAAAAAAAAAAAGTATGTTTAAGTTACAATATTTAGCTGGGCCTGGTGGCACATACCTATATAATCTCAGTGGCTCAGGAGGCTAAGGCAGGAGGATCACAAGTTCAAAGCCAGCCTCAGCAACTTATCAAGACTCTCTTAAAATAAAAAAATAAAAAATAAAAAATTTTAAAAAAGGGGCTGAGAATGTGGCTTAGTGGTTAGGTGCTCCTGGGTTCAATCCCTGGTTCCAAAAATAAGAAATAAAATAAAATACAATATTTATGTTCACATGTAATGGCTTTATTATTATTTTTAACTGAATGTCTTTAAAAGTTCTTTATTTTAATGTTTAACATAGAAAATATCATTAGATAAGTTCTGAGGTGTTCAGGTAAACTGGATCTCCATGAAAAGAAAAAAAAAGTCCTGATTTGTAGGATTTGTCACTTTCAGTGGTATAAATACTCGTTACATTGCCAGTTTCAAGCTTCCAACAGTCTAATACTTGACCTAAAATTTTCCTGAATAATGAATTCTTATGAGTGGGTACAAGCTGATACCAGCACACCATTGAATATAACCCACATAAACAAAGTTCTTTGTGGTCCTCAATAATTCCAGTTGTATTAAAGTATTCTGAACCAAAGAAGCTTGAGAACAATTGTTCTTACACAAGATTTTCACTTTATTGACTTAAAGGACACAGAAAAAAAAATGGTAATTAAGATAAAGCAAAGTGGAATGAACAGCTCATGGCTGCTAGCTACCATATTGGCTTTCTGGCTGTCCCACATCTGTGTCTTAAAACAATAAAAACTAATTCAATTCACCAAGTATTGTGGGGCCGCCAATTGGGAAATTCAATGTGAGGTCTGGTTTTCAACCAGTTGCTGTCTAAAGGGAAGAGAGAGGCTTTTGCTGAGCACGATTTTGGCCAGCAGGCCAAGAGGCTGTTCAAAACCGCAGAAGATTTTACCTGTGAAGGCAGCCCTAGAAAATGAAGATTAGTCTGAGTTTGTAGTCATGGGGATTGTTGACTGCACACTGGTTTTCTGGAAACACGTGGAAAACCAGAGGTCAGATTCAGCAGTGTCTTGGAATTCAGCATGTATGGTTCCTACCCAGGTGGCCCTGTGTTTGTTCCTCACTTCAGGAAATGACTCATAAGCAGTAGAGAGATTACTTTTGAAAACTGCATCCATAGTAGCGTGAAGACGTGTGGTGGGGAAAGGGCCAGCCTGGCTGTTCTGTTCATTTTAATGACCTCATTGCTGGATCTGTTTACTGTGCTGCTATGTGACCCATTCAGGGAGGTAAGAACACCACAAAGGGGACGTCTGCAGATACTGAGATGCATTTGTGGGCAAGAGCCCTATTGTTTTTTGTGTGTTTTTGCTTTATTTCTTATCCTGAGATACCTAGTTGCTCTTGAAGCGAGCCGAGACAATTCCCTCCCCCATAAGACAAAATACATTCATGTCCATTAAGATCTTTGATTTTTAATCATAATACATAATATTTAGCTTAAAAGCATGAGATTTGAGGACTTTAGATTTAGAAAAAGTTTATAGCTTTTACAAAGACGTTTTAGGAACTTAAGTCAGTTATGAACTCTAGCTACACAAAGAATCAGTAGAGAGCTTCCCAAAGTCCAAAGTTCAAACCCATACTCAACCAACAAGGTAAAATGTTTGAGAATAGGGCTTGAGCATTGATATTATTTGCAGACTCCTCAAAGGGATTCTAATGTGTAAACCAGGGTTGAGACCACTGCTTTAAGAAAGTGCTTCTCAAATTTAACCTGAGTACAAATCATCTGGATCTCTTCTTAAACAGCAGACTTCACCCAGAAGGTCTGTATCTCAAATGACTTCCCAGGGAAGGTTGAAGTTGCTTACCCTTGGACCATACTTAGAGTAGCAGGGCCCAAAGAGGTTTAAAGTGGTCCAGGCAC